GCTGCAGCAAGGAATGGCTTAGTACACCAGCACCAGCACCTTAAACTGGCCAGCTTAAGGAATTAAAGCCTCTTTTCCTAAGGGGCAACCAGTCCTTTTAGGTCCTTTTAACTCCTTGTCTCTAAGTGAGCGAGTTCTCAACTTCTAGGGCACAAAAACAAAGGTGTGAACAGTGACAGTAGAGTTTAGAGCTCTGATACCATGTACAGAAGAAAGCAAAAAGATATATCAAAAAGAAAGAGAAATCCTCCCCCCCCCATCGACCTGAATTGTAATTCACTATTTAGAAATTGTGAAGTTACAAAAATGCCCCTGTCAAGTGATTCTTAACAGGGGAAATACAAAGATATATCAAAAGACAAAAATACCCCTCATGGGCATATATTTCAACAAATGGAACAAGTCAGATTTAATAGTTCTTACTAATTCTAGTATAAATAACTAATGATAAGATATTCTCTAGTTCATTTAGCAATCAAAACTTAGAGCCATTTGTAGCTCAATACCAGCAGCATGAGCTGAAGGGATGGAAGATCCATCATATGGATGGCCGAACCCTGCAGGAAGGTTGGGCGAAATTTCAAAAATTTCTTTACTCCCATCCGGGAATCCTATTCCCAATTTAGAAAACTGCATTTTCAAGTTTCATTCTTGTAACCAAACCGGACCAAATCTTAAACCAAAATGAGGGAGGGACATACCTGATATGGAATCCACGTAAGAATGCTCCTCCCAACGTAGGTGTTCACGCCCAAAGAGAGTACCAAATCCTCCCTCCACTGAAGATGACACAGCTTAGGGTGAGGCAGGATCAACAGGTAGTTCTTCACCAAGAACTAGTGATTCTTCAGCAAGAATCGAATAGGACAGTGAGCACAGCTTCTAGATTGTTTCTTCTGGCAAGAAACAATATCAAGATCCAATCCAAGAACTGGAGATCGAACAGGGTGGGGCTGTTAGGCAGTTTTATGCCCTTAGCTCCAATTAGAATGATGTACATTATGAATTTATTGTAAATGAATAAAGTACATATTTGATTCATGTTCATGTGGTGTGTTTCTGTGTAATAACCTTAAACTGGACACTTATGAGACTTGTGTTAGTTTAGAATGTTCACAGCTGTTGGATAAGTCTGGGGAGATTTATCCTGCCAAGGCTGACACTAGTGTGCTGCCAAATGTTG